TTTGGATATATTTATGTCAAAATTCATCAATTTTGTAACTTACATATAGCATTTTGCTTATCCGTATGTTGTATCGTACAACCGTAAACGATAACATCAACAAAACATTTTTTGTAAAAAAAACATAAAAAAAAGCTTGAAAAAATATGAAATCAATGTAAAATAAAGAAAATAAGAAAAGAACTAATGTCTTTATATCAATTTTGAATAATAAAACTAGAATCAATTAGACACAAAATAGATAAGAAAAGAAAAGACAAAATAGCCTAAACTTCTGAACTTAAAAAAAAAAAAAAAAAAAAAAACTCATCAAAATTATAGGTGGAATCTCACGGGCTATAATTCACCACCCATATAGTTAATCGACGAAAGCAAACTATTCACCAAAAAATAAATATCCGTCTGATAAAGTGCGTGTTTTTTGGAACATTATATGTTTATGATTTACCATCCATACGGTAATGTGATGTTACAGTTAAATTACCAAATTTACTGCTCATTGTAAGTTAAGTTAATTGGTTTTGATTAAAGATCGAATCCTAGATTTTTCTTTCAACAATATATCAGCCCAACATGACAACAACCATGCTTCCCATTTATTTTTAGGTTTTTGATTCTTTGAGCAGTCAAGATACAAAATCAAATTTGGTAAAGGAGCTATCAGATTGGAGCATCTTCAAGACCTACTACTTACATTTTATTTGATATCTAATTTAGATAATCTTTTTTTTATATTTTTAATAGCTTAGACTAAAAAATTATAATTATTTGTTTTTTATAGTAACTATTTGCGCAAAAACACTAATCGCCTCTAGAAAATAATTTTCGAAAATAATTATTCGCACACGTCGCTTGGCACGGGTAAACGGCTAGTGTATATATATATATATATATATATATATATATATATATATATATATATATATATATATATAGTACTTCAATCAGTTTCATTACCCTTTGTAACATGTCGAACAAATGGTTACTTTCACGAACAAATCATATCAAACAGAATACAAATATAAATTATAATAAGTATAATTTATGGAACTCTCACACTATTTTCACTAGTCATGTATACAAGGTTTAACTATATACTCTCGTACAAATTACTTTACATATACTTTACATTTTAAGTATACTAGAAAAGGAACGTAGTTCATTTATCTATAAAAACATATGAACAATACGATTAATTAATGAATAAACAAAGGGGTACAAATGAAAAGTACCGGGACACACTAAAGGGGTACAACTACAAAGTACCAGGTTACACTAAATGGGTATAAATACAAAGTACCGGGTTATAGTAAAGGGGTACAAATGCAAAGTATCGGGTTATACAAAAGGGGTACAAATGGAAAGTACCAGGTTACACTAAAGGGGTACAACTACAAAGTACCGAGTCACACTAAAGGGGTACAAATACAACGTGCCGGTTTATAATAAGAAAAACATAACAATACAGAAAACAGTCCTTTTATAGTTTTATTGTGAGTTAAAACTATGCTATATTATTATATAGTACAACAACACTTACACAGAACGGTTTTATGGTATTAAAACTAATTTTCAGTTATACAGAAAATATTGGATTTTCTGTAACAATAAACATACTCACTATTTCAAGGAACAAATAACAAACTTTTAAACATAAATACTTATGAACTCACCAACTTAAATATTGAAACTCACTTTTTCAAAATACTTGTATTCTCAAGGAACCGGTAGACAGGTACATTTTCAGGATTTTGAGAAGACAGAGTAGTAGAGAGTCATGTCTTCTATCTTTTGCTATATATAACTTTTGATGTCATATATTCAATGACTTGAACACTATGTAAAACTTATACATTATTAATGCAATGGTTGTTGTACTTTGATTACTATGATGCGTGTTTTGTGATACTTAACATGAAGTCATCCACCCCCGGACGTTTCCGTCGTTCAGGTTTGGGGGTGTGACAGTCATACACTTCGTCCTGAAGAAAAATTGTGCAAGTCACCTTACATTGTATAAAATAAAATTTAGACTAGTTATATGATAGGCTTTGTGGTCTGCAACCTCGGTCACGCCTTTTTTGTGATTTTCTCTCTTTTCGTGGGGTTATTGGGGAAGAGCATACCTTAGTGTACATGTGTTTTTCTTGTAGTGTTATTATCTAATTCCATGCAGGTTTTCAGTTTTGAATTGTCAGAAGAACACCATTAGGCTAATTCGGTTAATCAAATAGCAATAAGGAAAGATGTTTGAGCCTTTTAGGCTGTTATCCATGGTTGTAGTAAGAAATAGGAAAACATTCTTAGGGGTCGGGCTTGGGTCAATTTTAGTGAGTTGGGATGTCTTTTGTGTATATGTTGGTTTGCAGTCATGTGTGTGTTTAGTGTGCATTTTATTTTAGAAGGTTTGACATCGTATATGATAATGGACTGTAATCTCCAACATTTCTTTCCTTTCGTATGGTGACCAAGGAAAGTTCATACTTTATGTGAGTTTTTTCCTCTTCAATCTAAGAACACCAATCTATTTCGATCTCATTTGGCTAATGTTAACCTCTCGATCATAATTCTACCGGTTCTTATTAATATAATAACAGGGAAAGCAGGCCATGCCTCAAGTTATAAAACTAGAAGACACTATCTTTTGGAGCATGTGGAGACACAAAGTTATCAGTTTCAAGCCCTATTTAAGTATAAAAATGAGGGTGGATCTTTAAGTTCATAAAAAAGCTACAGTGTTAAAATGAGAGTGACGTAGTTTGTAAAGAATGACAAAGTAGAAGAAGGAAAAAAAAGTCGGTTCTAATTTTAGCATGTAGACGTAGGTGTAGAACAAAAAACTGATCTTTCTATGTCTTGAATATTAAATGAGGGGATAATTGGTAATACATATAAAATTTTCAGGGACAACTTCATGCCATTTAACTTCTTACCATAAGAATAGCTACAAAGACCTTATTTTGTTTGACAAACTGACTTTTTATCTCGTTTACTTCACCCTTTTTTTTTCAATTACATCGATCGTGAACTGTCCATGAATGATTTCTTGTCATTCCAGATAGCACTGCTGGCCTCTTCAAATGTTCCACTAACCATGCCCTTCCTCTATATTGTTGTTGTTCGTATGTATTATCATTTTATTGAAATGTATATACCTGAGGGGTTGCATAATATTTTTTGCGAATAAATTATAATAAGATAAAAAGAACTTACGATTTCAATTAATGTAAAAACTAATGTATATAATTCAATTTAAAATTGAACTTTTTATTTGCAATTTCTTTTAAAACGATCCATTACTGTATTATCCTTAAAATGTGGGCAAGAAATATATATATATATATATATATATATATATATATATATATATATATATATATATATATATATATATACGGAAAAATTCAATAAAAAACCATCATTAATCAATGAACCAATCTAAAACGTCGAAATTTAAAGCAATCAACGGCAAAAGGAAGGGTTGTAGACTTTTACAATGGACGCACATGCACCGGGTTATAACAAAATCCACTTTCTTTTTTTTTTGTTTTAAATTTTTTTTAGGCTATGTCTTTTATCGAAAAAAACCGAGTATACTGTTGTTCACGATTTTTCGTCATCTTTCCAAAGAGATCCATGATGATATATAAAAAACGAACTTTTTTTTCGAAAAAAAACTCATTTCATTTTCTATGTTGAAAACTTAAGCTCTATTTTTTTATAGAAAAAAAAATAATAAATATATCAAAATTCATGTTTTTTAATACTTTTTAAACATAAATTCATATTCGTGTAAAAAAAACTATGTTTCAGTTCAGATTCACATTGTGAACCTGTTCAGATTCATATTGTGAACCTGTTCAGATTCACATTGTGAACCTTCTCAAATTCATAGCGTGCATAATAGTAAGTCAGATTCACAGTGTGAATCTGAACTGATCGAGCTTTTTCACATTGTGAATGTTAAAAATTGAAATATTTACAGTTTAGATTTACAGTGTGAATCTACATTGATCGACGTTTTTTTTTTTTTTTTTTTTAAACTTTCTCAGATTCATAGTGTGTATAATAGTAAGTCAGATTCACAATGTGAATCTGAACTAATCGAGTTTTTTCACATTGTGATTGTTGAAAATTGAAATATTTACAGTTTAGATTCACAGTGTGAATCTACACTGTTCGAGGTTTTTTTTTTTTTTTTGTCGGTGTTGATGTTTATTAATAGAGTAAAAAAAATTAATATTTTTGGTATAATTAGTTTTTTTTTCTTATAAAAATAAACTTAAATATTGAAAAAAACTAACAAAATGAAGTGAGTTTTTTTCGAAAAAAAAAGTTCGTTTTTTATATATCAATATGGATCTCTATAAAAAGAGAACAAAAATCGAGAACAACGGTATATTTGATTTTTTTTTGATAAAAAATGTGGCCTAAAAAAATTTAAATTAAAAAAAGAGGTGGGTTTTTTGCTAAAAAGGTGGATTTTTTGGTATAATCCAGTGTGTGTGCGTCCAATATAAAAGTATACATCTATTTCCTTGGCCGTTGATCATTATGATTTCTGACGATCACGATTGTTTTCTTGGTTCCTTGTTAATTATGGTTCTCTATTGAACTCCATCTATATATATATATATATATATATATATATATATATATATATATATATATATATATATATATATATATTATAAACCATACATATTTAAAGTCTTAAATACAAGTTATAAAGCATAATTTACAATCAAATAAAACATCTCTTACAAAATTGTCTTAAAAACAACTTAGATAGCATGATGTACAAACATTTTACTTTAACAGCTGCCAACCAGCTCGAAAAGTTAATAGCAATTTTCATTACACACGGATTGCCACCTACACTTTTTAATTTGTTTGATCCAATGGATGTAAGTAATTGAAAAACTATAAAATGAATCTAACGAATACAAATACATTTAAACAAACACAAATGATGGATTTAATCCTACCCAAATATTCACATGGATTGCAACGTGTTTTCACTTCCTTTAAAAAGTCAAAAGATCTACAACTTTTCTTTACTTATCTTCTTCCCTTTCTTTCTCTTCAAAAATTTCTTTCCACCTCATCATCTCTATATGGATACTTTGACCTTCCTTCCACGGTTGGATTAACTTCCTGCAATTTATTGCCGCTCTAACAAAAGAACCACGTTTGTTTTTGCAGGGATAAAAAAATGGCTTTTGGCGTACATTCTTCAAAAAGTGCATACTCCTACTTCATGAAGAATTTGCGGTTGCTGGTCTTCTTGGATCTGAAAGAGCACAAGAAAAGTTGATAAACGAGCACAAAAAATATTGTTTATTTCTTTGTTCATATGATATTGTAAAAAGGGGCAAAGCTTGCTGTTTTCTTTCTATATTGATAGTTAGTGTTGTTTTTCTTTTAAGGTTATTAATCATGAAATTGTTGGTTTTCTAAAAAAAAATACATTGTTTGATCAAATAATAACGAAGCAATTGGTACCCTTTTGCTCAAATAAGTAGATACACCACACGATTTCCATTTAAGCCGTCTACTACCACCCATGGTTTGTATTTAAGGCATGGGTTGTTATCACCATTTTGTTAGTTCAATTTACAACTATATAAATATTATAATCTAAGAGAAGCATTTTTAATCTTCGAAATAACAAATTACTAACAAAAATATGTTAACCATACTAGACCGAGATTGCAAAGACAATTCAAAAAATACATAACAAACTAACAAATCAGGAAAAAATTCAACCGACTTTAAGGGGTTTAAGCCTTCTAATGTTTTTACGCCCTTTAGTAAATATAACTTTAGTAACTATAACAGGTTACTAACACTAACAAGTATAAGATTTTTAAACAGATCAAAAAAACTCAAAGATTAGATAAAAACCTCATGGAATAACTAAAGATCGAAATGGGCTGCATGAGGTAACAATAGAGAGGTTGTAGCGGCGATGATGTAGGTGGCGGTGTCAAACCATTGTTACCATTTCCATTCAAAAATTTTAAATCATTCACCTTCCTACCGATTCATACCGATCTAATACACTTACTGAAACATCACTCGATATAACCACTACACCATCTTCTACGATCCACCATCCACACCGTACAACTCCATAGATTTGGTGGTTGTCGTCCATGTATCAATACACAAAAGAGAAAGTGTGTATTCTATTTGTCGGTTGCAGGAAACAATAAAAGAAATAGGGCAAAGAAGTGAAATTGAGTAATTGAATTGGTTGGGCCTCTTTTTGTCGGGAAAGCACATTTTTAAGTGGGCTACTGAATTAATTGGATTAATCAACATGTGGTGGACTGCCGTATAAGCATATATTTAGGTTTTTAATTTGTATTTTAAAAAATAAAAAATATATGTTAGTAATAAATTGTTCAAGTGATTTATCATTTTTAACATACACAAGCATTTTTGGTTTTAAAAAAATTGTTGATATACATTTAATTGGTATTGATATTTACTTTTATATTTATCATAAAATAGCCTACCGAAAAAAAAGTTATCTTCGTCGGAATCTAATCAACCAATATTTAAAATACATAATTTTAGAAAAATTAATTATTAGTTAAATATCATTATTGTTTTTATGTGATTACCGTTTTTTTTTACAAGTAAATGAGATTCAACGTATGAATAAAAGATATGAATAAAAGATGTTTTTGTTTTTCTTTTCTTTTTGTCTAATTTAGTATTTAAATAATTAATTATTACATTTTAAGAACAAATCTCAAGAAATGTTTTTGGTTAAATATCCTGTTTACGTTGCTTTTACAATATTTCTTATCATAACACCAAGATGGGACACTGTTTATGGAATTATAACATCGTTATGACGTACCACATAGGATCTCAACACTCCTTAACTTAATGTTTGTTTTTCATGAATTTTCAAAAACGATACAATAGTTGGATTTAATATTAGAGATGGCCTACACAATATTTGACTAATATTTGAATTTGTTTAAGGGGGTAGTAATTGGTCGTCAAATAGCTTACAACTTTGAACTTTAATATTTGAATTTGTTTAAGAGGTAGTAATTGGTTGTCAAATAGCTTACAACTTTGATCGTTAATATGTAGTTTCAATATTCAATATCTGTGAATAATATTTCAAACATATGTTTATTTTATTCCGGACATAAACCGTCTAACTATTAAATATAATAAGTGGATAGATATATAAATAGGGGTTATATATGACTATTACTACTACTAATTAAGATGATACACTTCAATTAATTGAAAATTATACAAAAAGATAAACAATAAAATAACAACCTTTAAGTAAAAATATCAACTTTTTAAAAAGAATTACCGTTATAAATAATATTGAAATAAATATTAATGTTTCCAAAATAAAAGTATAAAACTAATCGTTAGAAAAACCTAACCACCGAAATAAAATTGTTCGTTAATCCTCACCCTAAACCTTATATCCTAAACAAAAAACTATAAAGAAAATTTCTTTTAACCCAACATAATTTTTTTAAACCAACACAACAACAATACTTTAATATAACCAAAAATAGTTTCCAAAAATAACATTAATCATTGTTGTAATAGAAACTCAAACCATTTGTTCACCTGGAAGAAATTAATTAGAAATAACAAAAAGATATGGATGAAAAGTTCGCCACCTCGCCGAAATAAATGTAATCACGAAATGAAACAATGCGCCGAAAGAACATAATCGACGAAAAAAAGTAATCGCCGAAATGAAACAACTCGCCGAAAAATATTATCCGCCGCCGCATCGCGCGGGTACACTAGATATATATATATATAGATATATATATATATATATATATATATATATATATATATATATATATATATCTATATTCTAATAAATAAATAGTTTTAATCTCTTTTTGTCAAGTGTCACTCTAATACAACTCTTCATTAATATTATGTCATGTATCATGTAGATATATTAGGCAACTCATTTCAAAATTCAAACTTACATTTTCTAATTATATGTTAAATTTGAAGTTATAATAACTTTAAAAATTTTATATATTTTTTAATTAATAATTTATTTAAAATAATTTCTTAAAAATAATTGATTAATAATTATAAATTTTTATTATAAAATTTTAATTAATTTTATAATCGTGGTTCCTACGGGTTTTAAACTAATATATATATATATATATATATATTATATATAATATATTATATATATATATATATATATATAATATATATATATATATAAAAGAAAGTAATGACTTCGCCTTTTATCTAAACAAATATGAAGTGTGATTGTTTGATTTATAATAAACTAGGTTATAGACTAGTGGAAATCACCGTTATAAAAATAAATAATTTTTTATATTAAAAAGTCATTATTATTAATCAAATATTTTCAATAAATTATTATTAGATATTTAGATTATAACCCGTAGAACCTATGGTTACCAAAATAAATAAGTTTTTATAGTAAAAAGTCATAATTATTAATCTATTATTTTCAATAAATTATTAATTGAAATATTTATGTTTTTATTTATGTAAAGTTATAATCAATGATTCAAATAAAATTATAATTATTGATTACCGACTAATTTGAATTTCAAAATGGTAATAAATAATGCTAATTTTAAGAGATTTAAAAGAATCTAAATTTAAATATAAAATCATAGAAAAAGACATGTGTAATTTTTAGAGAATGTGAGAAACAAAAGTTACATGGCTGAAATGGTAGGATTAGTTTACAAAGTGCCATGACTGGAATGGTGGGATTAGTTTCAATTTGATTGACAATGTTGGTAGCAATGAATTTGTTCTTACAAGCTCCAATGGTTATTGATTGCACACACATGTGCTCACTAACTACGGTGACCGTCTAGTCAATTTTCTCTTTAGGTCTAGACACTAGTACAACCCAAAGACATTTACCTTGTTTCAAATTGATAGTTTTGTCTATGTATCCCATCATTGTCTTTCTCCGTGGCCCACCGCTCATATTTAACACCTCTACACCTAACCATAATGTTGGGGTGCAAAGCTATCCATGTGATGTTGACTTATAAGGATTTCCCTTATTCGATGTAGAAAGTGATTGTGAAGGTCTTAGAGAAGGTGGAAGACTTCTGATTTAGAAGGCCTTATGGTTGAGTTGCTTCTATATATATATATATATAGATATATATCTTATATATATTATAGTATATATATATATTATTATTATGATATATTATATATATATATATATACTAGTTTTAGTATACTTGTAGTTGAGAGAGCTCCCACATTTCTATAGATGTGTAGTTTAGATTTAGAGAGAGAAGAGAGAGAGAGAGGAGAGAGAGAGAGAGAGGAGAGAGAGGAGAGAGTAGTAAATAGAAGCATGCACATGCTTATACAAATTTTATACTACCCCATTAGATATACTTGTACTTAATTGTCAATTCGTGTCTTTTCGATTATGCATTTCAAGGGAACCGTCATATATATATATATATTATATATATCGATATATATATATCTATATATATATATATATATATATATAATCAAAATCAATAGAAAATACATATTAGGGTTACAAGTGTACGAACCAATTAGGAAGTGACACATATCAATTTTTCTAGAAGTTATTTAAGTTACAAAAATAGTCCTTATAATTTGAGTTAATTTTCGTATGTAGTCTATAAATAAAATTTATAAATCCATATTAATTAAAACTCACCCCTAATTAAAAGAAAATTGAAACCTAAAAACCCATTCCTAAATCAGTTCCTCAATTTCTTTCTCAATTTCTTTCTTCCCTGATCTCGCCGCCATGGCCTTCTTTCCCTTCCTCTTCATCATCTTCACCAGTATGTTTATCCTTCCCCAAGTTGTCCTTGTCCTACCATCAATCTCCTCCGCTAGTCACGTTGCTGCCACTGGAACGTCAGGCGACTATGTCTGTTCAGTTTCTGAATCTCGAGTCTTCATGATGATGTAACCACTGCTGTTGAAACCATCGCCGCCGCCTTGAATCCACCACCACCATAGTTCCTTGAACCCACAACCTTCAATCTGCATCTCTTTAGCCACATTCTTCTTCCGTTTTCTTTCCTTCATCAACTACCATTTCCCCTGGAAGTCCAACCACCACCATCTGAGGGTAGTTGTCGGACCTGAAATAGCGGCACTTTGAAGAACAGATCCCCTTCAGTGTGAGGGTGTTCTCCGACGATCTGTGTGTTTCTCTGATGATCCTTGTGTTATTCTGCCACATGAAACCCACATCTTTCTGATCAGGAACCACCGACACCTTCTGTTCTAAAAAATGATGTCGTCGTTGGTTGTAGGGTCGCCGGAGACTATCATGCTAATTGTCTCAAATCCGATGGATGTTTTGACTTATGTTTCTTGGAATCTATCTGGATTTCCATCAAATCGAATTATCAGATCTGGTACTAAAATCAATTCATCACGATTCAGGTTCCTCATTGCTAACAATCTAGATCTCAATGCTCAAGATGTGCATGTCAGTTATTTTCATATCAAACTTTCTACTCTTCTTTTGGTTTTTATATCAATTAATCAACTAGTATTTAGGCTTACATCGTCGGAGAACATAGAGACTCATTGGTGGTGGTGTTGTCAAGCATAAGCATTGAGAAGTTGTTGAGGGTGCATATGAAGTTATCAGGTTAAAAGGATACATGACATGGGAAATTGGGTATTTAGTGACTAATTTAGCTCAAAACATCTAGAGGGATCAACGTAGCATTCACCCTATTTCTACACGTCTTACAAACACACACCTCTCAATTTCTAGGTTTGAATGTCTTGGTGACGGGTTTGCATTTTGAGAAATATGAGATATGTTGTGATTTTGTAAAAAGATTTTGTGTGTACATGTAACATTCGAGATTAGTGCTATGTTCCATTTTAACCCTTATTGTGAATTCCTTTCTATAACATCCGGATTCCCAGGTATCTTATTTTAAGTATTTATATTGAATTTTAGAGAGGGACTCGGCGAGTAGGCGCTCAGACTCACCGAGTGGGATCGCGCATTTCTGGTCTGATTTAATGACGGACTCGACGAGTCGATGCGTGGACTCGGCGAGTCCGCGCTGTTAAGTGAAACCCTAATTCTCGGGGCCTGTGCCCTATTTAAAGGCCTTTATAGCCTCCATTGCGGCCACTTCACCCCTGAGAAACCCTAGAGAGCAGAGAGAAGGCTTGTAGTGCAAGAGGAGGGCTAATTCATCATTCTAAGTGTAATTTTGCAAGAAAGAGGAAGGAGGACAAACAAGGAAGGTTGAGGAGCTCAGATCTATCACATTTGATCAGAGGAGGAGGCTGTAGAGGTACTAATCTGTGCTTAATCTCGTGTTTTGGTTGTTCTAGTTGAATCTAGGGTTTTCTTATGCCTTCTTGGCTTGGATTCGAAGTATGTGAGGTCCCAAGGTGGAGTCTTCTAGATCTGGACCTTAGAGGTCCAGAGAGTCCTATCCATCTTGCTTTTGCTATTCGATTAGAGATATGACCTAGGTTGCCATTTTAGAGGTTATTTCACCCAAAAAAGCTTTATGGTCATTGCATGAGTGTAAAGGTCGGACCTTTACGTGATTATAGTGGTTGGGAAGGCCAGATCTATAGATTAGAGAAGTAGATCTGACCTTAGAAGGTCATTTGAGTGAGAACATGGAAGCAACTCGCCGAGTCCATAATTGGACTCGACGAGTCGAGCCGGGGTTGCCCCGCGATTCGTGACAGGTGTAACCGTCGAGTGGGACGATGACTCGACGAGCCAGGATAGGCTAGAAGGATTCAGAGAACCCGCATGGACTCGCCGAGTCGCCCATGTGCACTCGACGAGTCGGTCAAATTTTGACCATTGACTTTCGTTGACTTTTAGGGTTCTGGTCAAGACTGATTCAGGAGAGTTCAGGAAAGGGTAGAATGGCCTTCTACCTAATCTGTAGAGATGAGATCATGAGAGAATATTGATCGGGATTGTTGTTTGAATAATAAGAGGAAGCTAAGTCGGGACGTTGAGCACGAGAGTTTATCCGACTTCATTGAGGTGAGTCTTCTCACTATACTGTACCTGGAAGGGTACCTATGTGTGGCCGGAAGGTCTTGTATGCTATGATGTATGTGCTATATGCGGTTATGTGATATGTATGTGCTATGTATGTTACGTATGGTAAGGACCGGAAGGTCAAGATGATATATATGTATGTGCTATATGTGTTATGTATGGTAAGGACCGGAAGGTCAGAATGATGTGGACCGGAAGGTCAAGAGGTTACGGACCGGAAGGTCGATACGGGTAGGACCGGAAGGTCCACCGGGATTTGGGACGGAAGTCCCCTGAGACACATGGATCGGAAGATCCTACAGAGTTATGGCCTGGAAAGGCGTATGTGTGGTATGTGGTATTTTGGGGAACTCACTAAGCATTTATGCTTACAGTTGTTATGATATGTGTTTCAGGTACTAGCGAGGATCGCGGAAAGGCGTCGGCATGATCCGTACACACTTATGGAGTTTATGTTATTGAGATTCTGGGACATGTTTTGTTATGAGACAGTGAAAATACATTTTGTTTTATGATTATCGTGTGATTGAAAGTATGTTTTAAAAATGAAAATTGTTTTGACAATTCACGTCGTTACAAGTTGGTATCAGAGCCTTGGTTTAAGGGATTCGGGTGCATCTTCGGATGAATCTGAACTCAAACTGAGGAATTGAGAAGTTTTTCATAAAATAAACAATTTTTCTAAGAGAATAAAAGATTTTGAAAGGCAGAAGGAAGCAGTGTGTATGATCAGCCAACGCCCGAACGGTGATTTCCCAAAATACCCTTACATTATGTGTTATGAGATATGTTATGATATGGTATGCATGCTAGAGTTGGCTAGGTATTCATATTAGGACTAGAGTGGCCTGATTTTGTGATGCCTTAGCCTAGGAAGGATTTTGCTGCTATTTGACGCTTGAGAGCGAGTAGGTAGCACTGAGGAGCTGATGAGAGGTCTACCGAAGGGTAGCCTATGCCAGTGAGATATAGAGTACTTGTGATCTGGGATCCAAGGAGGAGGACTTAGGGTCAATACTGATGCGGTGTGGATGGTAGTATAGGGCCCGTACTACTGAAGACACCGGAGCAGTGCGCACTCTAAGTAAGAATCCTTTGGGTACTAAGGAACAAGTAGGGTTGAGTTATCGAGTGCGAGTATGCTCGAGCGAGTCTCTGATATTATTATGTTGTATTTCAGAGACATCATGGTTGGTACACGTCACAGACCTGAGCCGAGTGGCGTGAGTGACGAGGAGCTTCCTCAGATGATCCACGATGAGGTGGCAGCGGCGATTCGGGCCGAGATTCCGGAGATGTTTGGATCTATCAAGACCACACTGATTGAGACTTTTGACGAGCGGTACGCAGCGGTGACTGAGGCTGCGACTGCTGCAGCTACTGCAGCTGTGGCTGCTGCCAGACCTCAGGGAGGTGACTCGTTGTTGCTTCGAGAGTTCAGCAACACGAAGCCACCAGAGTTTGATGGGACGCAGGATCCGATCGCTGCGATGAGATGGATTGCTGATATCGAGGGATGCTTCTATATGTGTTCATGTCCGGAGCATCTGAGGGTACGGTTCGCGTTGAACCAGCTTCGCTTGGGAGCGAAGGATTGGTTGAAGTTCGTGACGGCGAGCTTCACTCTTGCAGAGATTTCTGCGGTGACCTGGGAGAGGTTCACCACCATGTTCAGAGATGAGTATGTTCCTCCGGTGGAGAGGGAACGGTTGGTTCAGGAGTTCTTGACCCTCAAGCAGGGTACTGATTTGGTTACTGTGGTTACCAGGAAGTTTCATGAGAGGGCGATGTTCTGCCCTGAGCAGGTGTCTACTGAGCAGGCACGCATGAGCCGGTATTTGGGCGTTTTGAGGAGGGATATACGGGAGTTCGTGTCGAACTCGACTTACCGGACATTTGTTGAGCTTCAGGAAAATGCCCGGAAGAGGGAGATTGAGTTGGAGACTCAGGCCAGGGAGGAGGCCGAGTCTCAGAGGATGGATCGGCGGCCGGCACAGTCTCAGCCGGCACCCGAGCAGGCAAAGTCCGCTGATACGAGATCTGGAGGCCAGAAGGGCCGCACTTGTGGGAAGTGCGTCAAGGGACATGATGGGGTCTGTCGATCGGGTGCTTGCTACAAATGTGGCAAGGAGGGCATATCGCCAAGGATTGCCCCAAGGGATTTATGGTTTGCTTTCATTGCAACCAGACTGGCCATCGGAAGGCCGAGTGCCCGCAGTTACATCAGGGATCAGCATAGGGATCTGCACCTGCTGCTAGGGTTACCGAGAGTCGGCCAGCGAAGGCCGAGGCACCGAAGGCTCGCGGGAGAGCTTTCCAGTTGACAGCGGAGGAGGTCCGCGCAGCGCCCAATGTAGTGGCTGGTATGTATTCTTTATTTATTTATGCTGAGATGAGATATTGTGCTTATATGATGATATGCGTAGGTACTTTTCTTGTGAGTTTTGTACCTGCCTTAGTGTTATTTGACTCGGGTGCGAGTCGATCATTTGTGTCGATAGCATTTAGTCGGCACATCAGTAGCAGACGAGAGGCGTTGAGTCGACCTCTGCGAGTTTCCATAGCTGACGAGCGAGCGGTGTATGCTACGGATGTGATACGAGGATGTGTACTCGAGATCTTCGGTGTTGAGTTCCCGATAGATCTGGTCCCGATAGCGATGGGGGACGTGTGTGTCATAGTGGGCATGGATTGGTTGAGCCGATTTGGGGCTGTTATAGACTGCGAGCGACAGTTGGTGACGATACGAGACCCTAGTGGGGGAGTACTTATGGTGTACGACGAGGGTACCCGATGTGGGTCAGCGTTTTGTTCGGCGGCCAGAGCGAGACAGAGTTTACAACAGGGCTGTAGCGGGTTTGTGGCATATATGATGGACTCACGAGTGGCCGCCGAGGGGCCAAGTTCGATGGATGACGTTCCGATAGTGCGTGAGTTCCCGGATGTTTTCCCGAGGAGTTGTCGGGTGTGCCTCCCGAGAGGCAGGTAGAGTTCCGCATTGATTTGGTTCCGGGAGTAGCGC